GGAGAGATTAAAAGAAAAAAGAATGTCAAAATATGAAAAAAATTAAAATAGGGGAAGGAAAGAGAGTAAAAGAAGGTAGGGGCGAATTAAAATGTACATATATAAGAGTTATAAAAAGGAAAAAGGTTGTGGCTAGGCCTGAAACCAGACTGTGACTGATCTAGGTAGTTGATGTCATCCAAAAAGCCCTGGAGCTGGGAGGCGACCACCCGCTCCAGCACCTTACCCAAAAAAGGGAGGTTGGAGATTGGTCTGTAATTGTTCAGCACCGTGGAGTCAAGGGAAGCCTTTTTGAGGAGTGGGCGAACCACAGAGTGTTTCAAATTAGATGGAAAAATCCCTTGCTCCAGCGATGCATTAATGATCAACCCAAACCAATCAACCAACCCCTCCCTGGCCGATTTAATTAACCAGGATGGGCAAGGGTCTAGACAAGCAGATGCCTCAATCACCTCATCTGGTACTGTGGTGAAATTGGAGTCAAGCTCAAGGCATATCTGAGCAACTTTTCCTGCAAAGTGGTGTGCAAACTCGCAACACCGAGTTGCTGGGTCGTCGAAGGTCTCCTCCACCACAGGTGGGTGAAGGAGTTCTCCGACAATCCGAAACAGCTCCGATGATCTATTTGCTGCAGACGCTATATGGGTGGTCGTGTAAGATTCCCTGGCCACCTGTATAGCCGCGGAATATGCCTGAAGAGAGGCTTTAGCCCGTGCTTGGTCAGACACGTCCCGAGATCTCCTCCAAATGCGCTCTAGCCCCCTTCTCGTGTGCTTCATCACGGCCAGCTCCCCAGTAAACCAGGGGGACGGCCTGTCACGACGCAACGTGATGGGGCATTCGGGAGCGATCGTATCTATCGCCTTGGACATCTCCCTGTTGTAGAGATCCACCAAGGTGTTGACAGAATCGCCAGGCTCCATGGCAGGAAGAACCCCAAGATTCCTCAGGAATCCATCCGGATCCATCAGCCTCCTGGGGCGGACCATCTTAATCTGTCCTCCACCCCTGCGAAGGTTGAGGGTCGCAGAAAGTCTAAAACTGATCAGATAGTGATCAGACCATGACACCGGAAGGATGTTTTGTTCTTCCACTCTGATCATTCCGCTGTCCGCCACAAAAACTAGGTCGAGTGTGTGCCCAGTCTGATGGGTGGGCCCAGATATAATTTGTGACAGTCCTATGGTCGTCATGGCGGCCATAAAGTCCTGAGCTGTGCCAGACAAGGAGGTCTCGGCATGGATGTTAAAGTCTCCCAGCACCACCAAGCGCTGGGAAGCCAGGGCCAAATTAGAGACCACCTCTGCTAGCTCAGACAGGGAAACTGCTGGGTCGCGGGGTGGGCGGTACACCAGCAGAAAGCCCACACTGTCACGGTTCCCCACCTTCAGGTGGACACATTCAAACCCAGGTGCTTGCGGAACAGCACACCTGACCATGGCGATGGATTGCCGAAAGACTACTGCGACCTCTCCTCCCCACCCCCACCCCCGTCTGGCCTGCTTATGCACTCCGAAACCCGGTGGACATAGCTGAGTGAGATTTATTCCCCCCAGCTCATCCAGCCAGGTCTCAGTAATGCAAGCCAGATCCGCCCTCTCATCCAGGATCAAATCCTGAATGGCAGCGGTCTTACCATTGACGGATCTGGCATTAATCAGCAGGACCTTAAGACCAAATGGACTGCCATGGGGCCTACCACTTCCTACCTTCTCCAGGGTCGCAAGAACTCTGTTGCGCTTCTCCCTGGAGCGTTGGTGACCAGCAAATCTCCTCCCCCACACAACCCGAATGGCGCCCCCCTCCTCTGGTCCCCCCTCCCCCCCTACATGGTTGGAATCTGTGGCTAGTCAGCTCTCAGAAGAAGTAAGGCTGGAGAAAAGTCTCCCTTGGGTTTCAGGTGGGGATGCTTCCGATGTTAAAGTGGACAAGGAACCAGCGAGGGAACTGAGTGGGCTGAACAGGGGAAGTGTTCTTGGACGGGAAAGTGTGGCTGATTGCGTGGGGACAACTGGGGCAGATGGGGTCTCAAATTGGTACAAACCAGGAGGGGGGGCCCTAACAGGGGAGCTGTCTGTGGATTTATCTCGGGGACCTGATGGAACAAGGCGAGAAGGTACCCCAGTGTCAAAGAGGGGGCGAATATGAGGGTCCACAACTACCCTTCTGATGGTAATGCCCCATTTCTTTAAGCAGGATCGCATTGCCAATAGCTCGCCAAGCCATAAGTTGTCTTCTGGGGTAATTAAAAGACGAGTGGAGCAGTCAGGTGATTGATAGTCCCTCCGCAGCCATGTTATGGCTTTCAGTCTTACTTCCCAAGGTCTTTTTGCTAGGATTTGGGCCAGAGAGTCACAAACCGCCCTCCTAGAAGTCCATCTGCCTCTGTTAATCATTAGGTCAGCAATGTGTATCGCAAAATTGTCTGTTAGGAGATGTTGGTCCTGAACACAAACTGCGATTGGCTGAACAATAGGATCTGATGTTATATTATCAGTTGTCCTCTGAGAGACCATGGATGCTGTCCACCAATCCAAGATGTTCTCATTCCTATGCTTACCTGACAACCCTCCCCTTCCCTCAGTCATCTCAACATTCATCCCTCCTTCCAACCCAAGGTCCAATGAGGCTTTCTCTCCAATTGGGCACAAGTCCTCAGCCAGATCCGCACATGGGAGATTGTCCACCCTTGGGGGATCAGATTGCACTGAAGTTCTTGAAAAAGAGGCAAAACCTCTAAAGAGGTGGTCCATTTTCTCGTTCAAAATCTTAAGTTGAAGCAACATAAGGTTGAATGATTCACTCAGGAGGTCATAAAAGTGCGATAGATCGTTCTTCACACGAGACTCTGTTTCAGCCATTCCTATGTCTATAATAAGTACCACTCACACCACTAACACCCGTCCACTCTTACCAACCCTCATTCACAACTTCCGTCACAAACATTCACTCCTCCAGTCACTCCACAGGATCCCATACTCTCCTCATTCTTACACAATTTCTCTCACCAACCGATACTAGTCTTCACACTCTCTCACCAATGTATACATCCATCTACCATCCACACCTTCCTATGTAACCACTTTCTCTATCACAGTCAGTCTCATGCGCTCTCCCGGGGCCACTTCATACCTATCCTATGTTATCAATGCAATCCTTATCCTATACTATTAATCTCCTATGTATAATCCTATTTGTTCTCTACATCTCCCGACGCAATCAGCAACCAACACACACAACGTACAACATGCAGCCAACTATAACTATACAAAAACTAAGCAAAGAGAGAAAGGTAGGAGAAAAAATAAAACAAAAAGAATAAATAAAATAAAATAAAAATAAAAGATAAAAATAAAAACACACAAAAATAAAAATAGAGTCAGATGGCGAAGATCACAGCAACAACGATGAAAGTACTGTTGACACTCCAAAATCTCCTCCGTTGCCCAGGTCTGCTGACAAGGCCCGATTGGCGATGGAACAGGGGGGCAGTGATACTGCACCCAAGTGGCCGGGCCTGTTTACGGGGCCTGCTGGACTCTCTGGCCCCACTCGATGGAATGGGGGGGCAGATAATGCGGCGCCCAAGCGTCCGGGCCTGTTTACGAGGCCTGCTGGGCTCTTCGGCCCCACTCGATAGATGGGGGTCGGATGATGCGGTGCCTGCTGGGGGGGGGGGCAGATGATGCAGCGCCCAAGCGGCCGGGACTGTTTACAGGGCCTGCTGGGCTCTTTGGCCCCACTCAGTGGAATGGGGGGCCAGGTGGTGCAGCGCCCGAGTAGCCGGGCCTATTTCAGGGCCTACTGGGCTCTTCGGCCCCACCGGATGGAATGGGGGGGCCAGATGGTGCGGCGCCCAAGTTGATGCGGCGCCCAGGTGGCCGGGCCTGTTTATGGGGCCTGCTGGGCTCTTCGGCCCCACTCGGCAAGATGGGGGGGGCAGATGGTGCGGTGCCCAAGCGGCCGGGCCTGTATATAGGTAAAGGTAAAGGGTTCCCTTGACATTAAGTCTAGTTGTGTCTGACTCTGGAGGGTATATAGGTATACCAAGTATATAGGTATATAAAAGACATATACAAATCTAACATTTATTGATAATAAATCAACATTTCCAAGGATTGCTAAACAGGCTGATTTCCCCCTTTTTATGAAGTACAGATGAAGCATTTTTTGCAGAATCCCTGTAAACTCTGAATGTTATTGGTAGCAGGCTTATTGTTGCCAAATTTTACGGGACCCCATTTAGGGCCAGGATCCACAGTTGAAGAAGCAGTGGTTTAAACAATATTGACATAACATTTTGATATGTTAAAAGGCAGTAGAATGTGTTTGCTTTAGTCAAACTAATCAAGTAGATATAATTAGATATCTGCAAACGTTCTATTGACATCCTATTTTTACATTGTATTTTGTCTCAACAGCTTGGGACCTGTATTCGCACTTTTTGTACCATTTTATTGCTCCATTCCAAGAGTACAAGTGACACAAATTCTAGGCCAATTTTCCATCACGAACAAGACATTGGTCTATGTATTGGGTTTGCAGGTACAGTATGTGCTGACTTATTTGTTTTTTTAGTTCATTCGTTTATCAGAATCTTCTCTGAATGTTCTGTTTTCCAGAACCATGTAATACGGGATCCCCTGTTTCCATATTCAGCCAGCTCTTCCCATTAGCTATGGCTATGGAGACAGGATCTCTGTGAAATTAAAAAACCATGAATAAAGAAATGGCTACAGTTTTTAGATGAGCGAATACCTCTTTTGGAATTTCTAGGTTTTCCAGAAGTACTTTGTAATCAACTTCTGCTGGAAGCTGAATCACACTGGAGGACCTAGAGATTGCTAGAGAGAATATTTTAATAAAATCCGCAAAACTCAAGATCACAAATCTGGAGAGATGCTTGCATTGAGTCTTAAAACATAAAGCAAAAATGTGACATTGGAATTTACAATAAAAGCTATAGTGTATCCGGAAGTAGAGTGTACTTGAGGCTGGTAGTGATTTGGCAGTTCCTACATTCAGACATACGTACATATAAACAGATGTTGAACACAGTTTATCCTACTTGCATACCTGTCAATAGGGCAGCTTTCTTTCTATGTGTCTGTATTGTTTTGCTTTATGCAAATATCTTTTATTTTGGCAAGGAGGTTGTTACTGATATATTAAAAATAATAGACTATTTTCAAAAGTTCTATGGAACTGGGGCCTAAAGGAGCTCTGGGGCTTAAACTGAAAACTTTAGGAACAAAGACCTAGGCTATGAGTTCCCCAGTTCAGCTAGAAGTTCTGCAGATGTTAAGATTCTTTTAATATTGACAGAAACAAACTAGTGAATTTGGCTTCTGATTCACTTCAAGATCCAGTTCAGGTTATTAATGGCAGCATTTCTGAGGGACAGGGTGTCCTTGCCAAGAGTGTATTTGAGTGCAACCACCACCCCATGTCCTTAGTATGCACTTTGCAAAGTCTGTTATTTGATTAATCACTTTCATCTTATGATTAAACTGATGATTCCTAACATAATTATCTTAAATTTAGTTTCTCTTGTGTTTCTTTCCCTTGTTATCACAGTTGGGTAAGGCAACCGTTAAACGTTTGACACTGACATTTATGAGAGTGAACTACAGAGATGTTAAATTATAAGCATTTGACATTTCTTTGTGTCCAGTATATAGCATTGTTCAAATTCCCAACATGTAATGAAAAAGTCATACTAGAGAAAATACTATTGACCCTAACTGATACGTGTAAAATGATTAAAAAGAGCTTTTCATATGTGCACACTCACATGCTATAGCATGATTTACACACACCCACACACATATATAGGCCTCTCTCTCTCTCTCTCTCTCTCTCTCTCTCTCTATATATATATATATATATATATATATATATAACCTGAAGAATTCGTCTTTCAATTGATATCACCATTTTTATGCATTTGCTCCTTTTTTTCATTTCATATTGTGGTGTTTTTGTTTTGTTGTAGTTTTTTGAGAGGGGAGAAATTAATATGTCGGGTCCCAGGTCATTATTACTTTTCTTGCAACACTACAGTTTAATACTTCTCCTTTTTGCTAGACTTCCCTGCAGTTTAACTTACTTTCCTGTTCTTTTTTCTATTAAGCATGTCCCTTTATAAATAATAATGATGGTGAAGATGTATTTTTGGACATGAATTGTTATCAGTCATTTTTAGTGGGTTGCTATAGGTTTTTTCGGGCTATATGAACAACGGGTCTCTAGAACATGGCCATATAGCCCGAAAAAAACCTACAACAACCCAGTGATTCTGGCCATGAAAGCCTTCGACAAAGTCATTTTTAGTCTCCTGTTTGGCTTAACATTGCGACTGACCTTATATTCTTGAAAGGTGGTGGTGGTGGGTCACTAGAAAAAATATTGTATTAAGAGAATCAAAATTGTATTGAAATTTATTATATTCCATACCATGAACATCTCCACAAGTAGCGTATGTTTTTATTGCTCTCACTTTGTTTTTGTATGGTACTGAATTTATGCTAGATGGCCTCATCACAATGCTAGTATGCTCTCCATACAATTTGTGCAAAACCTGGAAGCTTTCCTTCTGATTGTGCATTGGATTTGTTGATCATTCTAAAGTTTTTCTACTCATACATATCTGTCTGTGGTGAGAAGTTATTTTTCATGTGTTTATTAGTAATAGTAAAATGTTTGTGCAACCACCGTTACATTTTAAATTACACATTTTTGTCTTGTAGCTTTTAACTTCTGGGTCTTACATTTGGATTGTAGCTTTAAGTGGGCTGGTAAGTAGACCTATTTATTTTTTGCTCAGATTCTCATTAAGTCAAAACACCTGGATAAATTTCTTTCTTCTTTTAATGTTTATGTGTGTGCATTTTTTACTTCCAATGTTTACTAAACAATGGCTTCCTTTGTCATTTGTTATGCATGCAGCTTTCTTAACACACACTAGTTTGGTACTTCTTGGAAGCATTAAAAGCTTGGATGCAAAAAGTTTTCATAGACACAACTTGCAGATAATATACTTGACATGTAGTGTTTGGTCAAATCTATTAGTTAGCACTAAGATATTGAACATCAAAAACACAACTGGTGTATGGGTAGTATTGGTGCTATGCATCATAACATACCACTGGTCTTTTAAAATTGCTAGCAATATAGGCTAAATGTAACAGATGACAGAGAATGACATTAGTTTGCTAAGGGGCTTGGGGGGGGGGGGGTAGGGCCTCCACATGTTCTCTCAGGCTAGTCCTGAGAGAACGTTTGGACAACCCACCCCAGAAAGTGCACGCTTTCTGGGGTGGGTATGGACAGACTCCCAGAAACATCCGCGTGTTTTTAATGCAGGTGCTTCTGGGACAAGGGCCTGTCTGGATCTAGCCTCAAATAATGTGGGATTTCCTGCCTTGATATTCTGGAATATAGGGCTGTGTGGAAGGACCCTAAGTCTATCCAGCTAGGATGAATAGCTAATGATACTGAATGCAGAATCAACAGGTTCTTTCAATCCATCTACTCATAGCAATTGTTCACTACAGTTAAATCAGGCGGTACTGGTAGTTCAGCTTCTTGATATCTCTAGCATTAGCTCCCTGCAGACATCAGAGGGCCCTTCACACATCTCCTGAAACAATTTTGGGGACTCCAGACTTAATATGAAGCAGGGAGATAACAAATCCTTGTCCCCCCAAATGGTCCCAAATGGCTAATAGCATCACAAAGAGAATTTGGTAGATGCAGTTGGCCATTACTGTGGTTCCTTAGATGGAGTATAAATCAAAGTGCATAGGAGATAGCAAAAATAACCTTTGAAGCTACATACAGCTCATGGCTCAAACCCCTCCCTCTTGCACAAGCACTAGGGCAAACAAAAGACTTTTTGTCCATACTTAAACTAAAGCCCAGACTAAAACAGCTCAAGACATAGAGGAGACAAACATGGGGTTGATCCACTAAGCACACTCTATGAGTCCCTCTATTTTCCCAGCTACATTTTCCGTCCCCAGCGAGCCTTGGGTTTGAGTCTGTATGGTTCGGAAGGGCCAAAACCAGTTCAGCCCTGCTATATCATCAGCTTACCTTCACTATTGCTGTTGCTGCTGTCAGACAGCTGCAGAGCTCCGAGAGAGCATCTGACTATTGTGGGCATCCCATGCTGACATCAACAGAGGCACCCGTACAACTAGAAAGAAGGAGAGAGATTACTCTGCAGGAGTGATGGGGCTGACATGACCTGACCATTCCCTTTTCCTGCTCTGACAAGGAATGGTGGTGACGGGGAACAGTGGACTGGTCTGCATCAGACCAGGTTGTGCTATCTACACTATGGCCAAAGACTGGGGCTGTTCTGGAGTTTCGCCCCAATGTTCCTTATGCACAGGGCTAAACTGGTGTACCTGGGGATCCTGGATGTCCTGTAGACATCCAGGAGCAACTTCATGGCCACTGTATGCTATATCAGCCTCTTCCACACAGCCCTATATCCCAGGATATCAAGGCAGAAAATCCCACAATATCTGCTTTGAACTGGGTTATCTGAGTCCACACTACAATAATGTGGGATTTTCTGCCTTGATATACTGGGATATAGGACTGTGTGGAAGGATCCTTAACCTGTGTAGATGAGCCTATAAAGCAATTTTTCAAATTTCTCTAAAGTTTCCCCCCCTGTAATAATTAGATTAGATTGGACTGGATTACAAAGGAAACCTTGACTTCAGAACCTTGTTAAGCATTTCATCCATATTAGGCTAACACTGCTTTACTTGTTTTTCTTCTGCTAGCTGTTTGGTAGCTGATATTTTTGGAAAAATGAGCAGGAAAATTAAGGCTTTCATTTCTGTTTTTAAAGCAAAGAAATGCTTACACTGATTATTTGGACAGATGAGGGGAAATCGTCTTCCTTGACATCCTTTGTCAAATGTAGCTTCCTTTGTTTGGAAGACAAAAGCAAATGAATTGAATTGCACCATTTCTTTGGCAGGATGACAAGCTATACTCTAGACAGCACATACTACGTATTAGTAGTTAGACACTTGGCAGCCTTCCCTTAGTGTACTATTTGTTGTATACTTGTTTATCCTCAATCTGATACTGTGAAATATGCTAGTAAACATACACCTTTACTACTATTGCATGTCAAATTTTCTTTTAATCCAACATGTCCAATTCCCAAGAACATGATTATATATTATGCTTGGTTAACTTTTGGCTGAAATAAGTACACATTTCTGTACGTATTAAGACTAGGTTTGTGAAGATTTTTCTTGATAAAAGATATGTTCTTAGTGTGGAAAACTGTTCAATTTGCAGTCATGAGACCAAAATAAGTACAGTAAATGTGAAACCAGATGGCATTTCAATGCTGGAGATTTCATAATTACCTGCGCTATCTGGACTGCAGTTTCACCATGGAGATTAAACACCTGTAAACTGTTCTTTATTCGAAGATTCAGTATCATACCAACTGTGTAAAAATTAACCACAATAGTTAGGTGTTTTAAAGTAAAAGCTGAAAAGTTGAACGTTCTTATAAAACCTCCAAGTATTTCACTGTAGGTTTTTAAAATACTAAGATACTACAATCTTCAAGACCCAAGTCCCTTTTCTCTTCCCAACTTTGTTTAGTAAGATAATAATAATAATAATAATAATAATAATAATAATAATAATAATAATAATAAGCCAGTATAGGTGGTCCCAGTGGTGATCGGCACACTGGATGCAGTGCCTAAAGACCTTGGCCTGCACTTAAAAACAATCAGCACTGACAAAATTTCCATCTGTCAGGTGCAAAAGGCCACCCTACTTGGATCTGCACGCATTATTCTCCAATACATCACACAGTCCTAGACACTTAGGAAGTGCCCAATGTGTGATCAAATAGAAAAGCCAGCATAGTGATCTTGTTCGCTGTGTACTAATCTTGTTATGTAAGTAATAACCATAATAAAGTATTTGTAGATTGGTAAATGATGGCATGACTTAACAGAATAACTTCCATAATGTCCTTTATCCCAATGGTCCTCAACCTATGGGTCCCCAGATGTTTTGGCCTACAACTCCCAGAAATCCCAGCCAGTTTACCAGCTGTTATGATTTCTGGGAGTTGAAGGCCAAAACATCTGGAGACCCACAGATTGAGAACCACTGCTATATGCATCATTTTGCATCATTTTGCGACCCAGTAATTCAGTTTTACTAGCAAATCAGAGATTAAACCAACCCCTTATAAGGGATACATATAAGGGACACATATGTGTATTGTAGCAACAAGATGTATGAGGGCACAATGTGGCTCAAGAAATTTCCATTTATATTTTTAAAAATATGTGATTTATTACTTATTTGACATAGAATCCTTTTGTTTGCATGACATTTCCACACTGCAGCCGACACAAAATGACATGACACACAGTTTGGAAAGCTCTGCCCTGATGGATAGCCTGAAATGATATGTAGAACTATAGTCAGAATGGAAGGAGGATAAAGAAAAAGTAATTCATGAATATCTATTGGGAGTGACTGGAGAAATTGACCGAGGTTGCCTTTATATAATTCTCTTTAGAAGAGAGGTGAGCAACAGAGCAGCATATTGTTTCAATCCACAAGGCAGTCATTAGTGAATAATATGCATCTTAGCATCCCTACTCCTGCTAGAGTATTAATTTCATTGCTGATTCCCTCTTCCATAGTGACAAATTTTTATGACATCTTTATTTGGCTCCAATATGAATCTTAAATGTTTGTTTTTCCTTCCTTTCAGTGTTTACTGATAAAATAATAATACATTACGTTGTCTCCAACAGTTCCCTTCTGCTAATTGGAAGAAATCTTTTTTCCAGCGGAGGAAACCTTTCCTGTCAAAGGACAGGAAAGTTTGGCTCCAATCCGTTATGTATACAGAAACAGGATAAAGATTTAGCTTCATATGCAATCCATATTAATGTTAACATTGTCCATATGGTCAAGCATCCTATTGTACACAGTGGCCAATCAGATGCCTCTGGGAAATCCATCAGGCACCTGAGGACAGCTGTTCTCTTTTTGGCCATTACTTCATTGGAAATTGCAGTTTGAGAAATATTGTTGGAAATCCTTCAATTGTGAGTCTATGTCTGAATTTAGATATATATCATGCACTGTTTGGTGGCAGTGATATGCTTTGAATATGTTTTGAATATAAGCTAGAAACATTGAAGTGTCAGTAGTTGCCCAATATAAAGTAGCACTTACATTTTCATTATATAGTTGCACAATAGTTTCCAAAAAGGAAGGCTTATAAGTGAACTGGTCTAGAATCAGACTGGTGATAGAATGATTTCATCGATTCCTAGTGAAACTTTTGAAATAAACTTAAGCGGCCTTGTTCCAGTGTGCAACACTTGACACTTACACTGAATCACATTTTTGGTTTTATTATCCAGATTTGAAGTTCTTTATAAACCATTTCCTGGATTTAGCAATTTGAATAATTTGGTTTTATCTACAAATGTGACTGTCTAACCACTCAGTTCCAGATACTTATGTACAAGCAAAACAGCACAGTTCCCAGTACAGGTGAATAGGGTTCCCCACTGTTTTCAACACAATATTGTCTGCACTGTCCATTTATTCTGTACTGTATCCATTGCCAGCAATTCTAAAATCATAGACGTTCCTGGAAGCAAAATATAGAAAGCTATTTGTAATAATTTAGAGGAAAGAGATTGTGAAATATCTATCCAAACATACTGAAAGGGACAGTACTTCATGAAAAAGAAGGGGTGTTGCATTACCA